CTCCCGTGGGAACTCAAGCTTCTTCCCTTTGTGACTAACGGGAACGTTGTGGGGAGGAGCTTTAACACTAGGCAAACAGCCCCTTTCTCATCAAACTTCCAACTTATGCATATGTTTATTTTAATAAATATTTAAATATGCACAGACTTGCGGTTTCCTATTTTATTCCATGGTTATAATCCGTGACTAACATTATGATCTCTGATTTGCCAGTAGGGGCCCCTTCGAGCCGGCTATGTGTCCTTCTGACGTGTCCCTGTTATGATTTGCGCCCTTCCGTACTTCTAGGCACAGCAAGATGTTCCACGCTCGTCCTATGCTCTTCCTACCCAGGCCCTGAGACCAGCCATTTCTCCAAAGAACTCTAGTTCCTTTTAGTGAAGGATGCAATTTAGAAGCCAAGCTGTGGGTTCTCGGTGTGCTCACTGCTGTTGGGGTGTCACTCCTCGCAGGGCCTCTCACTGGACAGAGCTAGGGATTGTATGGACGTTTGCACAAACACACATTTACATCTATGGTTTTCCTATTTGTTTATAAATATTGAAATTCATGGGTTCACGTACATATAGCTAATTCCAATCCAATACCACATAGTTCATTTATCCCTTTCTGTGTTTTAATTCCCATCTCTAGCAGTGAGAAACCAGACTCCTTACCTGTAATGCATTTCCTTATTTGGTCAGTCCCCCAGTGTGTAATCAACTCCACGCTCCAGTGGTGTCCCCTCACTCCCTTGGGCTCTGACTTCTCACTCAGGGCTGCCCCCAGGGATGGCTCTGTGCCCCTGGATCCAGCTCCAGGAGCCCGAGGGTGACAGGCTGCATAACACACTCCTGTGTCCTGCCTTCCCTCCCATCTCCCTTCCTCCAACCCCTGCCTGTGTGTCCTGGGATCACCTCCCAAATAAACTATTTGCACTCAAATCTTTGTCTCAAGTTCTGCTTTTGGTGGAACCCAAACTAAGACCAAAGTCTTTTCTAAATTTTTATCAAGCTCATGTTACTTGATATTTTTTTTCAAATTTAAAGTTTTAAAACAGTATCTTAGCACTTTCCTGACCACGGCAGTTTTTGCCTGGCTGTGACCAAGTGTTTCCTTCCAGTTTGCAAGGAATAGGGAGTAGGGAGCAGGTGGGAGCCAGAGAGGGCAGAGCTGGTCCCCTCCAGGGGAAGCTCTGTCAGGGTCTCTCTGTTGGGGCCTGGTGATCTGAGCCTCCCAGCCCATTTCCCCAGCTGAGCCTCCGACCTCCCCCTGAGGCAAGGGGCACCTGATCACAGCCAGCACACTCATCTCTCTGGTCCTGGAGCGCTGCTGGCTCCAAGGTCAGCCCCCTGACTCGCGGCCCCTCAGGACCCAAATGATCTTGCTCCTTTACTAACGGGTTTGTTGATCATTTGCCAGACTCGCCGCAGGAGATGGGAGCCACATGGGGCAGAGCTTGGACTCCTCCCTCCCTGGTCCCAGTGCCAGGCTCTGTGCCTGCGGGGGTACAGGCTCCACACATGTGTGCTTGCTGTGTGAGTGTGCACACGCATGACCACAAGCCCACACCCATCAGTGTGGCAAGGGCCTGGGAGTGAGCTGCGAGCAAGGGACAGGTGTAGTGAGTCCCTGTGCCTGTGGCCTGGACCCTCCACCTGTCAGTGTGGTGCCTGGCCCATGGCACGGGGGCAGTGGGAAGAGTGGGCCACTGGCCAGAGCAGCTGCTGGGACGGGTTGGAAGGAGGAAGGCCAGCAGGTGGGAGCCCTGGTTGGGCTCAGGGAGAAGACAGGGCTTGGCCCTTGGTGGGTGGGGTGGGCTCAGCTGCTCCAGAAACTCCAACATCTTGTGGGGAGGAAGCCTGAAAGTCCACCGAGGTGGAGAAGCTTTAGAGATGAGTCCAGGCTCTCCCTGCTGCTCAGGGCCCTTCACCCTCACCTATCCTCCACCACACTCCCCCTGCAGCTCTGGGAAAGTGTTGGCCCCTTCCCAGAGCCCTGCAAAGCCAGAGCGGGTAGAGGGAAGCAGAGCATCAGAGCTGGGCACTGCCCATTCGGGGGACCTCGGGCTCAGGGTCCTCCTGGGAGCACCTGCCTGGCCAAAAGAGCAGAAGGAATTCTGCACCCGGCTAGAAACCCCTCCTGGCCAGCCCTCTGGTGCTCCAACCACCTTCTTTGGATTACAGGTTGCCTGAGCTGCCTGGGATTCAAATCCACGTGGAAGAAATTGACTTTCTCAGGTGCAATATAAACTTTTTTAGTCCAAATGTGGGCCAAGGAAACAATCTTCAAAAACAAATAAGTCACTTTTCTTTGGTTTTTAAAGACCCTTTTCCTAGTTTTCTTCTTTGTGCACATAGAGAGGCCTCGTGCTGGGGGTTGCCGACTGCTGGGGGCATCGAAACAAAGAGTGGGAGGGACAGCGGGAATCCTGATGACAAGGAGGGACAGTCCCTAGGGCACAGGCGAGGGTGGGGGAGGGTTTACATCCACGGTGAGGAGCGATCAGATTTGTAAACACGGGGCACTGCACCCTGAATCTCAAGGCTCCCCACACCAGGCACCGGCCTGCGTCTTCAGCCACGCAGGTGTGAAGTCACCTGTCCATCCTAGCTGCCCATCCTGACACCTGCCCACGCCTCAGGGGCCACCGAGGCCTGCGGGGATGCTGGGTTGGCTCCCTGGGGCAGGTGCTGCCCCCCAGGAGTGCTGGTTTGGGGGCCGTTCCAGCCTCCACTCGGGGGGGGGCGGGTAGGAGCAGAAGGTGACAAGCTGAAGGTGACCCAGGCTGCCGCAGGCATGGCCCTCTCACCCCTGCCTAGCACTGCAGGCATCCCCCATGTGTTGCCCAAGGCTCAGGGCAGCTTGGGTACCCTTGTCTTGTGGAGGAAAAGGTGCCACTACCCAGCTCAGCTGGACTGTCCTTCTGCCCCCGAGTTGAGCACAGCCAGAACTGTTCCTCTGATTTCAAGTCCCCACCCTCGGGGTCTCTGCTGGATGCTGCCTCCCCCGGGGGGCCACTCGGCTAGCCTGTCCAACTTCGGCCCGTCTTCTCCCACCGGCCCCTTTCTGGTTTGTCTCTCCCCCCACGACACAGCCAGTGCGTGAAAGGACGGACAGTGTGATCTCACTCTGGCCACGCTCTGGGCGCCCTGCAGATGTCTAAGTGGCTCTCGGCAGGGAAGGCTGCAGGTTAAGGGTCACGCTGTCCTGCCCGAGGCACGAAGGAGCCAGGTTCCTGAGGACCCACCCTGGGCTTGGCCCTAGCAGTTACCTGGCCGGCGTGCACAGGGCACAGCTCCTGGACGCAGGGCCGTCCATCTCAGGCACAAAGCCCTACCCCGTGGAGCAAGCAGTGCTGCTCTGGGACTGCAGCGGGGTGAAGCTGCTGGCTAGCGGCCCCGCCAGCCGCGGGGCGGGGACCAGAGGGCAGGGGCGCGGAGTGGTTGGCGTTGCGTGCCAATCATCCCGGGGTGGGGGTGGGGTTGTGCCGCGCCTGCGTGGTGCGGGGGTCCCGGACACGTTGCACGCGGTGTCTCCTGTGTGGGGCCCCGGGGTGCTGCAACCCTCACTCGCAGTTACCGCCACTGTGTTGTGGCGTCCCCGTCCTAGGTGGACCTTGGGTTATACTGCACGGAGGCCCTGTCGTGCGTGTGGCGTCCCCGTCGTGCGGGGGCCGCGAGGGGTACGATGGAGGGTGCGCAGCCCCGTCCCGCCCGCCCCTCAGCTGGTTTGCGGTTGTGGCGGGGGCCGCGTGTGGGTTTCTAGGCCCGGGCGGCGGCGGGACGGGCGCCTTCCCAGCCGCGCAGGAAGCGGCCTCGGCCGGAAAGGGGGCCCC